ACAGACCCTCAACCACCCAAGTCAAACTACCTTATCTTATGCCGATATTTTATCCGAAACACCTTTTTTTGAGTATATACAAAGAAAATATACATGCAAAATTACAAAAACAACAAAACAAATGTCACCATAAACAGAAGAAATGCTTATTTGAATGTCTCTCTTGTGCTGGACATCATCATTTATCCCCTGCATTTCTGTATTGTTGAGTTTGTTTAGAATTCCCTGTTGCTGAGAATAGCCGGGGCGACTAGAGTCCACACGTAGAGAACCACGCTGATCCAGCTCGAAGCCATCTTCACCCACACAGACGCCATGTTGGCATTCAGGCTTTTCAAATCTGAGCTTGGACTGTTGACAAGAAAAACATTAATAAAAGTCGGTTTAATTAACGAAGACCCACACACAAAAAACAGAGGAGAGAAATAGAGAGTGAAGTTAAAAAGATGGGCAAATACATGGGGTGATTGTGGTAGTAGTAGTAGTAGTAGTGTTGTTGTTTCTACTACCATTGCCAGCAGTAGCACTAATATTAGTCCCTAAGGACCACAGAGTTGTGCCTCTGGTTTTGGGAAAGCATCTGCTATGAGTGTAAAGTCGAACGCGGGAGTAGCAATATCTGCCACATTACCCACTTAAAAACCTTGATACTATTACACTGAGGTTGGTTTTCTTTCAGATGTTTCCTATGTATGGCTTCTTTCAAACTGCGACAGTCCATATTTCATTGTCTGCGCCCACAGGAGTCTGTCAGCAGCTGATCTCTCCCCAGGTGTCTGTGCCAGTGCTCGCATGTTTCAGGGATAAGCTGGATGCAATAGCACAAGACAGGACCTGACATGATCTGGTTGAGGGCGCATGATCCATTGGGAGATAAAGTGCAGAAGAAAAGAAGAGAGGAAAATATACATACCACAACAATCTAAATTAGGAGCTCAGTCAGACAATTAGGAAACACACTCACACCATAGGGAGCTACTGTGGTGTAGCAACTAGAAGCCTTGCCTGCAGATCTGAAGGTTGTGAGTTCAGGTCCTAATGGAGCTGAAATTTTTTTTTTTCTCTTTAGAAAATGACCTTGGCTCCCAGGTTAACCCAGACTTACCAGGTAAAGTCCTGGGAAGAAAAGGCAAATGGCATGATGGTGACCCATCACCCATTCAATGCCAATTGGTCTATAAACAAAATACAGATCTAGCCCTATATCTCCAATATGCTTACTGGCATGGTAAATGGTCCTTTACCCATTCAAACAGGACCCGACATTGAAACACAACAACACACTGTATGGGCACTTGACAAGTCATCACATGGCAGGTGAAGAGAGAAATACTAGCAAACCATCCTCTGAGGAGAAATGTGTAAAGAAAGAAATGTTGGTAAACCATGAGCTGGGAAGACAGGATGAAAAAAGAGCTTACCTGTACCAGTTGGTCAAAGTCATCATGACATAGAGAGATGCCAGAAACAGCATGAAGTGGTAGAAGCTATAGGAGTAAGCCACGCCGTCCTCTTCATTGTCCCAGACCTTCTGTCCCCTCTCACTGTCCTCCGTGGTGCTGGAGCTGCCTGGAAAGATAAACACAGGAAGAGAAAGTGAACAAATGAATAAATAAAAGTTCTCCTCCGTAGCTGTAAACTTCTTTTTTTCTTCTCTAGACCTGTTGTGTCTTTCAGTGTCAGGTTTTAAATAGGCATTGGGTACAAGCCTTGGTATGTGCTATGTAGATACTAGTATTTGCAGCCTCCGACAATCCATCATCCATCGCTGTAAACTTCAGTGGAAAGTTCTGGTTGTTTGCCCACTTCTTGAGTTTGGTCCTGTTCCAGAACTTGAGTGTTGCATGCAAATCCGGTTTAAAGATCTAGCTGAAGTGTATGCAGACTGTTGGTTCTTCGCTTCTCATAAACAGATGTCCCTCTAACTAGTTGAACTGTATGACATGCTTGTTAATGGGGCAGCCTCCATCCCCCCTTCCCAACTCAGTTTTCCCCCCTGGAACCCACAGAGGAAAATGAATAAGGATAATTTGAGAAAAGCTTAGTTGCGTATCTTTTACAGGACGCTGCAGAACCAACCCCTACAGCCCCTGGCTGCAGTGTGGTTTTTCTAGGCAAATTTACGTCCAGTAGTTTGCCATTGCAAAGATAAGGGCATGGCCCGCAGCTGAGATCGAACCCGGCATTACGAAGCGTTCGCATCGACTTAGCCACAGAGCTGATAATTTGAGAAAACAACAAATAAATTATCATCATCAAGTGCCTTTAACAATCATGCCTCAAGCATGTCTATGGTGTCTTTGAGGTAAAAGTAGGGGACACTACAACCAGCTCCTCATGGAAACAATCAGTACCTTGGAGTGGCTGCTACATCAGAAGATTCAGCATACACAGGATTGCCCAATATGCAAATATTCCAACTCTGATAACAAAACATAAAATAAAGCTGTGTTGACACCCCTTCATGATAGAAGGCTGTCAAGAATCTTCTCATGTTGTCTTCCTTTATCTCTCTTTCCACAGATTTTTCCAGCGGTCACAACATGTTCCAGTTTCGTTCTTCTCAAAACATGACCAAAAAACACATTTTTTTGGGTATGGAACTTAGGTAAACAACTTCTACACTCAAATTTACCACCAACAACACAAGTTTGGACACAAAGATCAGCTAGAAATGAATGCAAGCAGGCTCTTGAACTGCCTTGGGTATACTGTAGTAAAGGGCCTATTTTTATGCCAGTGACTTTTCTGATGAGACACCATAGTGTAGTGGCTAGACATCTGCCTGAAGGTTCAAAGGTCATGGGTTCAAATACAAACCGAGCCAGATTTTTTTCTCCCAAATGGGTACCAGGTAAAGTCCTAGGAAGACAAAGGTGGCCGGCATGAAGCTGACCAAATCACCCACTGAGTGCCGACGGTGTTATATACCCAACAGGCCTGAAGGTGGGGAAATGGGTCCTTTACTCTGACATATTTTCATGTCTTGAGGTACTCTGGCTTTTTAAAAATTGATATTATGAAATATAAGACCAGAAAAGAACGTCAGTAACCAGGAAAATAAGATGTTTGAGATAAGCTGGAGGAGGGAGCAGATGAGATAGAATGAGGAATGAAATCTTTAGAGAAAAAAGCTGGCACAGAGCCAATATTAAATGATATAAGAAGATAGCAAATCAAATGGTCTGCCCACTTACAAAGAATGCCTTGCGGCGTTATACCATACAAGTAAGTAAGTCAAGGACTTCCTTCCACGTCTTAAGGCACACCGGGCATACAGTGCTAGACCTATATTTTATAGACCAATCGACACTCAGTGGCTGAGTTGGTTAGCATTTTGCCAGCTGCCTTTATCTCCCATGATTTTACCTGCTACCCATTTAAGGCTGGGGTTACCTGTGAGCCAGATAAAAAAATTGGGCTCTGTTCGGATCTGAACCCACCTTTGGATCCGTGGGCAAGCATCTAACCACTACACGACTGCAGCTCTCATACCATACAAGGCATACATAAAAAGAGAAGACGTAGCGGATTAGACAGACCAAGAAAATCTGGAAAGATTACAGCAAGAGAAATTCTACAACAGAAGTTGCAGGCTTTAGTCTTCTTCCAGAATTAGAGTTTTGCATGCACATCCATTTTACAGATCTGGCTTATTTGTATGCAGACCGTTGGCTCCTCGTCTCTCCGGCAGAGGCACTCCGACTTCAATTAGCCAACATTTTACAACATGCTTGTTAAGGAGGTTGTGTGTCTATTCTTGTTTTGCTCTCCCACACTGGGATTCAATGAAGCAAATTTCCCTGGAATGACCCAATGACCATGTTACGAAAGCTCTCACCTGTGTCTGTCTGAAGAATGGTCTTCTCCGACATGGTAAGTTTTCCAACTTGACTGTTGCTGCTGGTGCGGATGCTGTGAAATGACACAATGGATTCACTAATGCCTGGCAGTTCATCTTTGCTTTCAATAGTTTACATTTTACAATTCATGCTGGATAAAAATGTGGTTTGATAATAGCACAAATGGTAAACGAAACTTACAGTGTGAACAGAATAGAAATATTTCCAGTGTGGATTTCGTTGCCATAGTTATGGTATATTTTGGGAACATTTTTATGTGTTACACGCAATATCGGAATACCATAATGTAGCCATTTTAGAATTACACGTTTTATCTCTTCTTGTTCTCTCTGCTGATGAAGATTAATCACCAAAATATCCTATATTTTTTTTTTAAAACTGATTCTGAAAACCACACTGTGCATCACAGAGAGCCCTGTCATTTAGAACATCGGAGCCAGCAAATACCTGCATCTATGTAGCACTTGGCTATTCAACTAAGTTTATTCAGGTCAATTTTGAAAAAAGCGGATAGTTACAGGCCAGAGGTGCAAGGCCCAAACAAATAAAAACCATTATTACAATACAACTGGCAAGCCAGTTGTTAGGCCTCCGCAGGCCTAATCTGAACAGTGTGCCGCCAGCTGAATAGCCCTGTCTTAAAACATAAGCATTAGGACAAAAGAAGAAGAAGACTTATGCTGTAGAGCTGACATATTCTTTATGTTTTTCCAATCTGTTTTAGACACACACTTGATGATGTGATCTTCTTCTTCTACTTTGTGTCCACTGGCTGTAAACTCCGGTGGAAAGCTCTGGTTGATCATCCACTTCTGGACTTTGCTCTTGTTCCAGAACTTGAGGTGTGTGTGTGTGTGCACGTCCCTTATACAGATCTGGTTAATCTGTATGCAGATTGTTGGTTCCTTGCCTCTCAGGCAGATGCACTCTGACAACGAAGGAAAGACTCCTGATTAGTTGCCCTTCACAGCATGCTTGTTTGGGTGTGGTGGGGGGAGGGGGAGCAGTTGGTCTATGCCCCCCCCCCTTCCCAAAAAAAAATGGGGTCTCGGAAACCACACAGGAATACTTGATGATGATGATGGTGACGACAATGATGAAGAGAATGACGACAATGATGATTATGCAACCACTGACCTGGAATAGAGAACTGCAGCCAGCCAGATGATCAGTGCAATGATGCCCTGCCAGTCAAAGACATTGCTCTGAGCGATAACAGTGTTGCTGGGCGTAGTTTGGTTGGATACAATGGGAACAAAGATGTCTTTCAAGTTGGGGTTGCATGACTTATCTGTCAGAGAGGGAAGTTGCAGCATAAATATATTTTTTAAACACCTTTTTCTTCTTCTAAATTGACTCTTAGAAGGTTGGTTGGCACACTGTGTTGTGGTTTACAGCTAGGCTGCTAGTTTTGGCAAACACATCATTAGTTACCTTTACCGACATGCTTGTTAGGCGGCTTATTGGTTTTATCTTTCGTTTTGAGTAAACAAGACAGGCGGAGTAAGGGATCGAGATGAAAGGTCTCTAGAACACTGCTCAAGTGTTGAGCTATGGAGATGTCCCATGCTCTAATTGTAGAAAGCTATTGTAACGCATGTAAATTTTTCTAGTCTCACTTGCCATTGCCAAGGGCTGCGATTCCCATGCCTCCACACAGCACAATACTACCGCCTGGAAAGACAGAAAGATGCCAATCAACAAAATGGGAACAAACAAATGTCAGGGGGCAGTCTGTCCCTTCTTTACACCCTCCCCTAAAGGGTTCCCGGAAGCCACATAGCGATTTGTTACAACTGGAGAATAAGAACTAGGGCGAGAGAAGCCCAGATACAGGCAACAACAACAACAGTTTTAACACACACAAAATTTGATGTTAAAAAAAAAAATAGTGTACTCATAGTGAGATCTTGAAATTGATCATTTAGTATCAAAGAAAATGAAAAGAGAGTCCGAAAGCAGATTCAACCACTGGGATGTGAAGTGTTGGGCCTGGCCTTCACATATCAACAATCAACAGGTCCTTTACAGAACCTCACTCTCATTACAGCATGCCTGATGGTCTCTCTTTCTCTAGCCAATTCTCCAGCCCTATGTGCTTTCACAACCAATGCATTTTCAATGTGTCTTGTATCCACATTCAGAGGTCTGCCTCTCTGTTCTGCCTTTCTATCCCCCAATGGAGCATAGGCCCTCAACCAACTGACGCCAAGTTGTTCTATCCTTCGCTATTACATGAAGCTCTCCCCATCTTTCTAACTTCATTCTCCAGCTCTCTTCTCCATGTGTTTTTTGGCCTTCCTTTATTCCTATGCCCCTGTGGGTTATAATGCAAAGACATTCTAGTTATGCTGTTCTCCTCAGTGTGTGTCCTATCCAACGCCAGCGTCTTTTCCTCACCTCTTGGTCCAATGAAGCCTGAGTCTGCCTCTGCCTTTTTTTTCTTCAATGACAGAGTAAGAGTCCACAACTGAAATCTATAAGCTGCATCTAAACATTTTTTTACTTCAACTCGCCTGCAGGTGCTGCAAAATAGATTCTTCATGCTCTTTATTCTCTGCCTTGCTAAAGCAAGTCTTCACATATTCTAAGCCATAATATACGAGCTGGAGTGATCGGTTCCCAATTTCATCACCTTTCCTTCCCAGACAACTTCCCAAAAATTCAGGGAATAATGCAGAACCCATTTTCATGACCGGTTGACCCAGAGCTGTATTAATAGGAAAAAATACACTGCGTGATATGGTCTGCATGGAGTCAGCTGCCTTTACTTTCCAGGACTTTACCTGGCACCCACTCAAGGCTGGACCGATAAGGGAGCCAAGGTCAATTTTTAATAAAATCCGGCTCTGTTCAGATTTGAACCCATGACCTTCTGATCTACAGGTGACTGTCTAGACGCTACACCACAGCGGCCCTCCTTAAAAATGGTTAGCCCAAAGAAATGCACATAACCAAACATACACATTCTGTAACAGAACAATTACCTGGGTTGTTGGTCATTGCAGACCAGGTGAGATAGATGACGTAGGCCGAGATAATCGATGACTGTAGTAAGCCAGATCGGGGCTGGACTGAAACATCGGAGAGACAGAAATGTAAAAAACAAGTATAAAACATTTACAGAATGATAAAATAAAAAAAAATAAAGCGAGTCAGAAAGAAAAAGGACAGGTTGAAACAAACAAGAAACAAAGAAAGATTGGCAGAACTTTGAAACAAACAGGAAACAGAAAGAAGGAAACCAAGAAAGAATCTTAAGAGAAACATTACTACTATAAATCACATCTATGATTGAAAAAAAAATACAAAAAACTGAGTGCAGAAATTGTACCAGACAAACCAACAAACAAAAGCAAACTGAATAAAAGTCTTATAAAAATACATGTGATGAAATGGAACACTTTCTGACTCTTTCAGTAATTAGATCAGGGCTATTGTACTAAGTTTACTCAGGGTCCAAAAGTTTAAAAATAGGGCAAGAGGCCAGAGCCCCAGCATTGAAATCTAATTTACACAATTTAACTGGCAATGATCCGTGGGCCATTTGTTAGGCCTCTGCGGGCCAGATTTGGCCTGTGGGCCACAAACTGAATAGCCCTGATTTAGATGAGTCTCCATCCATACTGCCATTGCTACCATACAGAGAATGTACAAATAAAGGAATAAGATCCATTTTCTTATCATGTGTTTGGATATACGCAGAGCTTCAAAAAGAAAAAGGTGCCAATACTCAGCCAAATGGTTAAGAATGCTGGGCTTCCCTGTGAGTGATGCAGGTTTGAATCCCCTGTAAGGCTGTGTTTCAGTCGGGGGCAAAAAGAAAATCCCAACCTGCAAAGTCTGTGGCGACAGCATTAGCTAAGCAGCCCTAAATCCTCAGCCTCAACACCCCCCCCCCCCTCCCCCTTCCCCCAATCGCAAAAGTGGTAAATGCAGACAGTAACTGCAGTTTTAAAGTGCCTTAAAAAAGTGCCAGTAGTGACCATAAAGTGCCCATTATAGTAAAACTGACAAAAATGTTAAGGGTACTGGTACTGTGTACTGTTGCGTACCCTGACATATCGTGCTGGCCCTGTATATATTACAGACCACATGGAATTCAACATATGGGATGGTTAATTTCATGCCAGCCATCTTTACTTCCCTGAATATATCCTGGAACTAATTTGAAGCTGAGTAATTCTGCTAAATGAAGACCATTTTTTAAAATCTGCCCTGACGGAGATTTAAACCAGGACCACTGGGCAGGTAGCCAAGTGCCCTAACCGCTTAGTAAACCATCATCATCAAGTGCCTTGTTCAGAGGCGTTCATGCACGCTCAGGTCTCTCCACAGATCTCAGCCCTTGAGATTCAACAAATAAAATTTTAAAAAAAGCACAAAACTGAATAAATTCAACTGAAATACAGTTTTGTGCTTTATTTTATGTTGATGTAACTCTGTAGTAACGCACCTGATGAGATACAGCGAAATATGCCTGGCAATAAATTGTGCAATGTATTGTTTATATCCACATTATTTAAATTCATTACGGGAGAACATTCTTTTGAAAAAAAAAAGGTAAAGTCGGGAGATGTGAACTAGCGTCATTGCACACGGTTATAAACCATAAGTGCTCTGTCACCAGTACAGACAGCTGATCAAAACTGTCCACCTGTGTCGCCGTCCGCATGCAGCTCCGTAGCTACAGCGACGTTCCTCCATTTACCCCAGAGTGTCAACTCTGGTACTCATTTTCTAGAGGCTAAGCGAACCCCGGGAACCGCTCAGTTTCGAACACCGACCGTGGCTGCAACGAGTCGCAACTGGAAATGAAAGTCAGTCTCCTATCGACTACGCTAACGCGGCTTCCCAAATACTATTCCACCATTCCATCAGGCCGCCAAGCACCGTCTCTCCTGTGGTCTGCCTCTTCTATTGTTGATTTTTTCCATCATGATGAGTTGAGTTGAGTCAAGAATTGACATCACAGCACCGGGGTATTCCCATGCATGCTCCGGCCTTATCTCCAGCAGCCAGTGCAGGGTTCCAATACTGATGGTACCGGTCACAATCTGGTTATATGTCTGTCTTAACTTTCCTCTGACTGTAGTGAACTGGCCAGACCCTTTGGTTACACCCAGGTTCCCATCATCATCATGTTCTCCAATGCCTCTATGAGCCATCATGCCTTACTTTATTTTGCAGCGTAGCTAAAAAACACAAACTAAAGGTGTCCTACTTACACTCCTGAATCTTGGGCAAGATGGCCACCACGCTCATGAGCACACACAGGATCAAGTTGAAGGACACAAAAAATTTATGCAAGGTGCAGTCACCCTAAAATAAGATCGACAATAAAATAGATGTTATAAACCATCATCATCACAAGTCTTACCAAATGGCATGGGTGATCAAGTTTCGTAACCATAAATGAGCAGAATGTAACAAATCTCATATCTCTCCATCGCAAGCCAAGTTTTGGTTGTTCATCCACTTCTGGACTTTAGTCTGGTTCCAGTATATGAGTTTTGTGCGCACATCTCTTTTACAGATCGGGCATATCTGTGTGCAAACTGTGGGTTCCTCCTATCTCAAAGCAGAGGCACTCCAGCTTGGAAGGAAACACCCTTAATCAATCCCCTTTTACAACACATTTATTGGGGGCAGTGGGTAAGCTCCCCCCCCCCCCCCCCCCCCCCCAACCCCCACAGAATACACAGGTAAAGTCTCTCTCAAAATATTTAAATGACTCATGTTTGCTGTGACAGCAGATCAAATGTCTATTCGTGTTCTGATTATGTCATGTGCCAAAACCACCCACGTATTTATCTCTTTATTATAAGCATTTTTGTTGTTGCTGAAATAGTTTGTGTTAGATTTACATCGCCCCCCCACCCCCCCCATGTTTTCACTTTAATATTTTGGTCATTTGAAGCGCCATGGCGGACTGGACAAAATAACAGCAGAAGGAAAGATGGGCACAGGATGTAAATGACTCTTTGAACGTGAAAGCACATGAAGCGGGAGAGCTGGCCAGAGACCGAGTTTCTTTCAGGCAGACCGTGATGAAAGCAACGTTCTGCAAATGATCTGCTAAATGATGATGATATATTCACATAAAGGCTGCCAAATGTCTCTCAGTGTTACATTTTATTTCTCCACATAATATGTCCAAACCATCTTGAATGCCTTCTTCAAATGTCTCTGTATCTTCTTTTCCCTGCCAGTGGTTTTCAGATCAGAAAGCCACTGGCCTCAATGAAGTCTGTGTGATCCATTTCTTCCAGCGTTCTAAACTGTTTGGTTTCCACTGGAATGACAACCGGCCAAACCTGGAATCTCTTTACTACATGTAGGCAGCAGGTCAGCAGCATATTCTCACATGAGAGACCCACATTAGATCCTCAGTAAGGGACAGATTTTTTTTTAAATTTTTAAATGGACAAATATAACAATCTTAACCTGCAGTTTGTGGCAGATGCACTAGAAATTTGGCCTTGAATTATCAGGCTTAGAAACCCCCAGTCATAAAATGGTAGATATGGGCAATAATGCTGGTTATTATCTTTAGTTCCCACTATGTATGTTGCATGCAACTCCAGCATCTTTTCCTTACCTCTATTTTGCTGGTTAGTTAGTTAGTCAACAGATTGTCATCATTGAACATCAAACCTTTCAGTCCATAAGTGCTCAGATCCCCTCCTCAGTAAATCCAGCAGCGTGTAGTGGCTGACGACACCAGTCATGTGTTGGTTTCTTATTTTTCTTTGGCTTCCTGCATAGTGCTCTTGTCTGGCCACATCACTTTTAATTTGCTGTTTGTGCAGTCTAGTCATGGTTGCAGATTATATACATCAGTTGGTTCTAGCAAATGTCTTACTTCTCGTAGCATTCAGTATATCAGCCTGGTCCATGGCACGTCCGCCCGCCATGGTAGCTTTACCTGCAAGCCTATCTGCTTGCTCATTTCCTTGCACGCCTCTACTGCATGTACAGAGCATGTCTGCAGCACAGGTTCACTCCTTCCACACCTCTACTGCATGTACAGAGCATGTCTGCAGCACAGGTTCACTCCTTCCACACCTCTACTGCATGTACAGAGCATGTCTGCAGCACAGGTTCACTCCTTCCACACCACTGGCGAACTGGGCATATGTTGGGACAGTCATATTTTTATGTACTGGATGAATGATGTGATCAACATCATTCATCTAATCGGCCACATTTATTTTTCAGGATATTTACTGATATCCAATTCAGGCTAGGTAAACCATAAAATCCTGCCTCACTGCAGATTCAAACCCAAGTTCTTCAGGCTAACAGGCAAGTACCTGCAAACATTGATACATATGACAGTATCTGTACTTACACTGGCGTAGTAGATGTAGAACAGAACCACTGCAGTCAGGCACACCGCGTAGAAGAAGAAGGTAAAGAAAAGCAAGCCTGGGGGAAAGCAATCATGAAAACATTAGTGTCTCACAATCATGATACTGAGGCGAGAACAAACTGAACAATAAACAGATAAAATGTTAGACGAGGTTCCAAAATCTTTACAGATGGGCCGTCCCAAAACTGCTTTGTTCCTGTGTTAGGATAAATGTTCTTCACTGCTCCATGTCATAACTGGGGAATCTAAATTAGCATAACATAGTTGGAAACAAATAACTTCTAAGCATTTTGACAGGAAGTATACAGATAAATGTAATGTACCGAAATAAAGTAAATATTTAGACCAAATAAACATATATTTTCTAAATAAATAAATGCTTATAAAAGTAACTAGCCTCAGTTGCTGAATTCAAATTACAAGCTTAGGAGCTGCGGCAGAGTAGTGGCTCAATGCTCATCTGTTGGCCTGAAGGTTTTGGGTTCTAATGAGCACTGAGTCATATTTTCTCCTTAAGGTCAACCCAGCCTAAAAAGGGTACCAGACAAAGTCATGGGAAGTAAAGGCAGCTAGTATGATGCAGACAACAGCACCCATTGACCGGCCATTGGTCTACAAAAATTTAAAATTTGAGTCTAGCATAATATGCCCGATATACTACCTGCCTAAAAAGGGCTCTCTAGTTTACTTGCATTTAATACACAACAAAAACAACAACAAGAAAACACACAGACAACTAACCAACATAATAGCATTTAGATTCCGTCTCCTCGTATTTCTCCACCCAAGACTCGGCCCATCCATGGGCAAAGTCCACGAGCAGTACCAGCTGGATGAGGATGAACAGGAATCCTCCAATCATGCCAAACACCATCCACACTGTCAGACAGAAGTACATCAATGTTGTCACTTCAATATAAAAGATCTCAGTATGTTCACATTGTAACAAAACATTTTTTTTAAAACTTTGCAAGCATAAATGTTAGAAAAAAAAAGCTGTAGATTTATAAACACATTAACACTGTAGTAAAAATGTGCTAACATTGTACTATAAATGTGTTGAAATTGTAGGCATAAATAAATGTTACTTTTATATGAATGTTAATATGTATCTAAATGTTAAAATTTTAGGCATAAATATTAACCCTGTAGATATGAATATGTAAACATTGTAGATATAAATGTTAACATTATAGATATTAATGCATTAACACTGCAGATATAAATGCTAACATTATAGATATTAATGTGTTAACATTTTAGATATAAATGCTAACATTATAGATATAAATTGTTAACATTATAGATATATATGTTGTCAATGCAGGCATATGTCTGAATCTGCATGACGAAATTTTTTTTAATGACCTTGGCTCCCATGTTATCCCAGCCTAAATTGGGTACTAGTTAAAGTCCGGTCAGTATGGAAGATAGGCTACTTTATTGTTTTTGGTTTTGTGCTTCTGACAATAGTTGACTTTTGCATATGTAGACTGAAAGGATATAGTTCTATCACCCAGCTACTGAGCTGAGTGCATGGCACAGCACTGTGAGTGAACTGCATTTTCTCTGTGCCGAATGTGGTGTGTGTTGTGAACTGTAGATTCATAAAATAGCGAGTGGCCTGAGGTCACAGAACTTATTGTGCCCTATCTGATTAATTGCGCGTGCAACTACTGATCTGTTGTAACTGCTACTTCCATCACTAATGAACTGCATTCCTTGTGTCAGAATGTTTGGGTTGGCACTTCTAACGGCTGCCTTATGCATTTTAGTACTTGTGTATGGTACTGATTTGCTAAGATGGCAGTGAGTATCAAATTTTTAAACAAGGAACAGCAATGGACACTCTGTGTGGTTTTTTGCTGGCACAATAACAGAGCAACTGTGGGGTGCCTTCTGCTATGAAGCTGCAACAGCAATAAACTGAAACTATGTAACTGTCAAAAGAGGTAACCACAGTAAAAAGCTGACAAGTAAGCAAAGAAGATAAAGAAAGAAATGATGGAAATAGTCAAGATGTCACAAAGGGTAACAACAGCCCTACCTGGTCCAAATGTTCCTCCTGGAATGAAGAAGACATTGAGACCTAAGTCAGAAAAGGAGAGAAACAATGGAAAGAGTCAAGATTTTGCCAAGGATAACAAGAGCCTTACCATGTCCAAATGTTCCTCCCGGGATGAAGAAGGCACCCACACAGATACCAACCATGATGAGGACTTTAAAGAACCAGAACCTGTGAGAAATTCCAGCGATGATGATTAAGACCATATAAAGAACCTGTTTAACTTATTTCATACTATTATCTATACATACAAACTTGAGAATACAGAACTGAACTAACTGCCCACTGACATTCCCATACTGCTGTGTTTCCTTCCTCAATAGCCAACAAAAAAGTTCCCATTTTGAGAGTGCCAGCTGAAATCTGAATAAAAATTAGCTTGTTTTGCCCTCCGTGGGCAACAACAACAAGAACAACAACAACAAAAATTGCCTAGACCCTCTGCTTGCTTGCAACTTAACCTTCCTCTCTAATATGGATGCTGCGTATAACAATTTATATGACTTTACACATGAAACTACCAATTTTGCTCTGTACGTTTTTAAATAAATTCCACTGATTTAGTATGGACCAGCAGATCACCTTGAGTTCGTTTTGACAGTGGTTTCAAGGGCTGACCATTCAGACAGCAATGGCAAACTAATGAATGTTACACAGTCTAGTGAAGGTCTCAAAACTTTTTCAGGTCTCACCCTTTCCTCGAATATATAATAAGACCCCCCCCCCCCCCGCTTTTCCAACATAACAAAATGTGATTAAGAGGAAGACAATGTATTCAGCAATAAGGGAAACAAAAAGTATGGAGGTATGTTTTGGTCAGAATGTGTTCTTAATCTAGAATTAAATGTCTGTGTTATCATATCAATTAGATTTTGAACTGTAGATATGCAAATTGGTTATTAAAACAAGTTAAGCTATTATATCGGCTGATGGGTTAGAGTGCTGAACTCTCATGTGAAAGACCCAGATTTGATCCTAAGGGATGGAGATTTTTTTCTGCCAGGGACAAAAATAAAAATCTTATCTGCAGTTTGTGGTGATTGCACTAGACATCGGGCCAAGATTCCCCAAGCTCAAGAGCCCGCAATCCTACCCCAACCTAAAAGTGGCAAACACAGGCACCAAGGGCATTATCTTGTGTTCTCAATATTGTGGCCTTTCCAGCTCCAGCATCTTTTCCTCATCTTCTGATGTGGAACAGATTTTGTCAAGTACTTTTGAGGAGCTCAAAACTAATTCTATCATGCTATTCTACAACTTCTATTCTTCTAAAAAGGGGAAAACTGAAGTACATCATGACAACATGAAAGTTGGAAGAGATGCAGTGAACGGTTAAGAGAGAGGACATTTTACAGATTATTATCACAGAATATTTGGGCACAACTCACTCACTAGGTCACTTTTCATTCATACTTTGTTAGGCTCGTCAACTTTGCTAAAGGTTACAGGAGTGTCTGGGTGTACTGTTTTGTTCAAAAAGCTTTCTCCGCTCTCTTCACCCGCGGGTGATATCGCGCTTGTACATTTCACGATGGCAGCGCTTTTAACAGTTCAAAAACATGCAGAACTGGCCATAACACACCCTGTGTTTATCACTTGTTATGGTTGTGCAAGAAAGACATGAGAGAATTTAGCCTAAGGATTTATGGACATATTCAGGGTGACCATAATATCTTGAGCTGAAAATGGGACATACCACTATTAGAGCTGAAAACCGGACATCCGACTAATATTCTGTGCTGAAAACTGGACATTCCAAGCAAGTTTAGCCCCCCCCCCCCCCCCCCCCCCCCCCACCAGATCACCTAGGTGAAGGGGTTAATTACTTGCATGACAATGGTATTAAAATAAATAATTAAAAATCACCCCCCCCCCCCCCCCCCCCCCCGATAAAGAAAAAGAATATGCTCTTTCATAGAATAAAAAACATGTCACATTAAAAATCCTATCAACTCATTTCAGGAATTAAAAGTATCTAAAACTCTGAAAACTAATAGAGTTTACAAATATAACTATGAGTGAGTTTTCTATTCTCAAGCTTATTCCAAGATTTGTATAGAAGAGACAATACTACTTTTTTTTTGTTTGTTGGTAGTATTGATTAGACGGCCGGCCAGAAAAAAAAAAAAAAAAGGGACTGTGCTGGTGAAGAAAGGCCCTTCTTCCTATGAGTGCCAATCAATACATTACCTGTTTGTTTGTTTATTATATATACAATTTGAAGAAAGGATGTATGGTCAGCCTAACCACCTAACTATACAGCTCTTACAGTTGCCAGACTGCAGTCTAGGATGTTATTTTTACCCCTATCAGAATAAAATGCATCACCTTACCTAGGATTCAAACCTGCTTTCCAAATAAGAACCCAGCAGCTCCTGATACAGGTTCTTATTAAACAAAATGTATAGTTTATTAAGCAATTATTTGTATTTACTCACCCGTTTTGAATTTTGGACCTTGGGTCTTTTGATGAGTTGACTTTGATCATGATGACGCAGAAGAGCAAGAAAAACATGGCCATGGCAAAGCAGACTCTGTAGACGGCCAGAAAACCAACCACATTGTCACACTGCTCGTGGTTGAGCACTTCGTGACCAAAGAAGCCCTTACACAGTCCTGGAATCTGCAAACATTACATGTTTCACATGATAAAAACAAATCTTTTTTTTTGGCTGTTTATTTTTTATTCACCCCAAACATAGGGAATACAGGAGTTCCATGAAAAGTTTAATATTACAGGGGTGTTAGGGTTAGTCAGTGTTAATTTCAAACCATAAAAACCCTACAATATTGGACTGTCCGTAAACTCCACTAATAAAAAAAAAAAAAATAAAGACCTCATTTTTCAAATGAATGTGTGTGTGTGTGTGCGAACAGCAAACACGGGCCATATAATAAATGTCCCAGGATCCCACCATGGGTCAGCCAATAGAAATTGTTGTTTTTTAAGGCCAGATTGAACGTATTCCATTTAATAATTCATTCTGCTCACATTTATTGATTATCCCTTTTATATTTCTTTATGTATTTCGAAAAGAAATTTTAAAATGTAAATGAATAAATGAAAGAGATGAGTGGAGGCGGGTGACATCTGTAGCAAATGAACCTCAAGGGCTCGGAGTGCTGAAGAAAAAAAAAAAAGATGAATAAACATTTTAACAAACTGTTTGCCCGGCTCTCTAGCGAAGTCGGTTAAACCTGACTTTTGCGGCGGCCGGGTGACAAACTCCTTGTGGTCCGGGTTCACTCCCGGGGGTAGGCAGAAAAGCCACATTTCTCCCAAATTAACGGTACCTATAATGGAATCAATGCCGAAGGGTTGCGATATCCATAGTACCGAGCCAAAGGGTTTACAACTCATGGTTTCTGGATACGTAAAAAAAAAAAAAAACTGTATTAGCCAGGTGTGTAAACCATTTTTTTGTGTTAATATTTTTGTTATGCATTTTTTGCCAAGAATTCCGACAGGTTATTGAACCTTTCCTTTCGCAAGTGTGGGGTAAAAGTGTTTATTTAGTACAGTATTTTATGTCACCGTGGCTGAGTTGGTCTACATGGGGTATGCCTGCAGTAAAGCACCTGATAAGATACATCAAAACAACGACCTCAGCATTGTCCTGTTGATCAAATATATCTCACAAAGGGCTCACAGTCTGATACCTCCATTCTGTTCTATCTTGTGCAATCCTTTTGATATTATAGATGGAATCCAGTCCAGCATCTTTGGCCTCTCTCCTCTTCATCTGTATTTAGGTTGCTTTTGGGAGGGGGAGGGGGGCCTCACTTCCTTAACCCATTATTTCCTGCCTGGTGACACTCTGTCCATTTTATCTCAGGTTGTGCCCAATATGGTGTCATCTGTTCTGTCTTATGACTGTTCTTAACAATGGCTGTTCAGGCATTTCTTTTATTTCATCACCCCTCTTCAATTCATCCCATTTATGTTCAACATTACCCAGGGATTTGTATTCTAATGCATTTAATTTTCGCTCTACATCTTCAGGTATTCTCCAGCGTTCACTGACATGTTTAAAACTGAAATAAATTTAGAAGTGAAAATACATTCTCTGTTCGGATTCTGGCCCCACTTTGGATTGGGGAGAGGGGAATAGACACAATTGGCTAATTATAGGTGCATCTGCCTGAAGGAACCAACAGTCTGCATAAAAATATGCTAGATCTGCAAAATGAATGTGCATGCAAAACTCAAGTTCTCAAACAAGACTAAAATCTATAAGTGGATGAACAACCAGAACTTTCCGCCAGAGTTTAAAGCTGGTGAATGCTAAGGGGTTTTATATTTTTGTCAGGCTGCTGTTGCCTTGCCAATGTGTGTGATAAATTCCTTCCTTGTATTTCCTTGGCCATCAAGATTACTACCTAAATAAGTAAATTAATCTGTTTCTTTCATTATTTTTTGGTCTCTAGTGTTACATTTCTTGATCTGTTGTTACTGGTGACTTCAATACATTTGTCTTTCCATAACTTATTTTAGTGAATCAAACTATGCCAGGCAATAAATTTAGCAATGTTGTGCTTTGCGTCTGCATTATTTAAATTACTATATCCAGTTTAAGGTTTAACAAGTTACAAACTTTTTACAAATTAAGATAAACAATTTACAAACTTCATCCACTTTAAGGTTTACCAACAATTTTCAAACTTCATACAAATTAAGATAAACAATCTACAAACTTCATCCAGTTTAAGATTTAACAGTCTACAAACTTCATACAAATTAAGATAAACAATCTACAAACTTCATCCAGTTTAAGATTTAACAGTCTACAAACTTCATACAAATTAAGATAAACAATCTAAAAACGTCATCCAGTTTAAGATTTAACAGTCTACAAACTTCATACAAATTAAGATAAACAATCTACAAACTTCATCCAGTTTAAGATTTAACAACAATCTACAAACTTCATCCAGTTTATTCTTAAAAATCCACGTACATCATTGAGCTTATCTCGGATTCCAGGGATGAGCATAATAATGGCCACAATGGAACCCAGTAGCAACATAACAGAGTAGCCAATCCGGGAGGCAGTGGAGTTCTTGCATGACGGACACGCAGCACAGCATAAACCACAGGCCGCACTACCACAGCAGCAAGCAATCTGAAAATGAATAAAACAACTGTCGTATTAGTCATTACAAATTCAGAGCATTTTACTATGTAAATACTGGTGTATCAGCTAGACATTCGCCTGCAGATCGGAAGGTTCAAATCTGTATGGAGCTCAATTTTTTTCATTCATGACCTTGGATCCAAAGCTGACCCAGCTTAAAAAGGTCCAGGTCAAGTCCTAGGAAATTAAGGTGGCTGGCATGATGTTGAGTACATCACCCCTTGAGGGCTGACTGGTCTATATAAATATGAGTCTAACATCATATGCCCAATGTGCTACTGCTGTGAAAAGGCTCCTGTACTTTTTTTTTTTTTAAATCAGAAGGCAATTCCGGCTTAAAATGGAGGATTAGGCAAGGTAGAATGTTAAGCTTCAAAGTTATTTTTGCTTCCAACAGCGCTTTGCTAATGCAGTTTCCACATATGGACAGTAGTCTGATGTTTCACTGCCTTAGCTACCGAGTTTATAGCTTGGTGCAGCCCTGTGAGCTGTGTTTTCCCTGTGGAACGCCTTTCATTTGTGCAGCGATTGCCAAGGTTTTCAATATGGCCGGTAGCCAATTTACATGTGAGCTGGTAAAATACCTTATATAATAATGCTACGTTTGTATAGTAGCCGACTTGTCGTGCCCGATTACTTCCATAAACAACAAACTGCATTTCTGGAGGCGAATGTTGGCTTTGGCGCCTCTAGCAACTGTGTGCGCACATTTCCGGATTGTTTCAGGACTAATTGTTTTTCACCAGCTTTTCAAATGGCACAGTCAGGGACATTTCATTTGATTTGCTAGGAACTGAGCAAGTTTGGGGAAACCTGATTGCATTGAAGTTGAAACCTCGACTAAGACTAAAACTTTTTTAACCATGTATTTTGTATCATTCTGTTGTTTATTGTTGTTTTCTGATTTGTTCGTTTTCATTTTATTGTAATGCCTTAATTTAGTTAATTCAGCATCATGAGATTCTTGCAGGTTCACTTCCCCCTAAGTGGTTTTAGAATTTTAGGCATAGTGTATAAATTCCCGTAGATTTATTAGAATTACTATTTAAAAAAGGGTACTTTAATCTCAATTCACCCCAAACAAAGAAAATCTTGGAATTGCCAGGAACTAGGGGTGTTATGGGTTGGGGTTAGTCGGCCAGGGCTGACTAAGATCAGTTTCATGTTTATGCCAGGGCTGACTAAGATCAGTTTCATGTTTATGCCAGGGCTGACTAAGATCAGTTTCATGTTTATGCCAGGGCAGGCAGACTTTCTCTTCATAGTGTCCAACCAAAATCATTTGAAAACATTAAACCCCTAGAATGCTGTCCTTTTCTGGGAACTCCCGGGTTTCCTTTGTTTGAGGTGAATTAAAATTATAGTACCAAGGGTGAAGAATCCTTTTCCACGCCTTCAGGCATACTGGGCATGCAAAGCTAGACTTATACTTTACAGACCAATCTGCATGCAGTGGGTGATGTGGTCAACATAACGCTGGCCGCCTTTACATCCCAGAATTTACCTGGTATCTATTTAAGGGTAGGTCAGCCAAGGAGCCAAGGTCATTTGTGAAAAAAATCCGACTGTTTGGATTTTAACTCTTTGAGTCCCAGGAAGTTTAGCATCAGAGGCCCAAGGGGTAGTGAAGAAAGATGTAAAATTAGCGCATCTTGCGTTTACTGGGCCTCTAGGCGGGATCCTATGAACGTCTGATCGGTTCCTTGGGACTCAAAGAGTTAACCCACAACCTCTGGATCCGCAGGCGAAAGTCTAGCCGCTACATCATGGCGGCTTTGAAGATTTAATTTACTTAACATTATTTCTACTTAGAAATGTAGGCATAATTAGAGCACGTTTCAATGTTTGTGATTATTTAACACGATGATGATGATGATGTTCATCATTTGTTAAGTGATGTATGAAAAAGGCGCGAGACCAGAAGGGCAGAATTTAAGATAGGCCTCCATGCCCAATTTTTAACACTCTAAATATAAAGTTTTTCATTTGTTCACTTCCTTTTCTGTATTATCCTTGGTTTTTAAAGGTAAAGTCGGAGATGTGAACCAGCGTCATTGCACACGGTTATAAACCATAAGTGCTCTGCCATCAGTACTGACAGCTAACAAGAACTGTCCGCCTGTGTCGCCGTCCGCACGTAACTCTGTGGCTACAGCGATGTTCCTCCATTTACCCCAGAGTGTTAACTCTGGTACCCATTTCCTAGAGGCTGGGTAAACCCCAGGAGCCGCCCGGTTTCGAACACCGACCGTGGGCTGCTGCGAGTCGCAGCTGGATTTGAAAGCGAGCCTCTTATCGACTGTGCTAACGCTGTTAGCTAACAAGGTCTGCCACAACAATGTCTTTTGTATATTGTACTGTATTCTGAAATCCTATGGTTAAAGTTAACAGTTCAAGTTAAGAGATCAACTTCATAGCACCAGGCTTTTCCGTCATATGGCTTGGTCCCTAGAATGGTTAGCCACCTGCCAAAAGTATCACAAAAAGCACAAACTCTGCAGCTCATGTGATGATCCTCAATAATCTAAACAAAAAAAACCTCTTTGTGAAACGAACCTGTGACTTTCAGAGTGCGAGGCAAACGGCTTGACCACTTCGCCCAGTTATTGACTAATCAAAATCGTTGAAAGATGTAAATATTACGCCGGCCGCCTTTTCTTTCCACTACATTTCCTTGTACCGGGTACAGGACCCGGCTTTCCTCCGAACTTTGGGCACTAAAAATGGCGGCCACAAAATATCCTTTCGAGCCACAGCCACATGTCAATTGCACATGTCCGGCGACTTAATTTGCGGTTCTCCTGCGGTTTTCCAGCGACTACCACCACCACGAGTCCCAATGCCGCTGACGTGGCGTGTATTGGGGCTAAACTAGATGGCTAGGACCCACGAGCAGCAGCTTCTGCATCTCATGAAGCTTTGCTCGTGAGTCCTAGTCATTTATAGTTTAGCCCCCAATCCACGCGTGGCGGTGGTCGCCGGAAAACCGCAAAATTAAGTCACGTGACTGTGGCTCGAAAGGATATTTTGCGACCGCCATCTTTAGTGCCAGAAGTTCGGAGGATAGCCCAGGACCCATTTGAGGCCATTTTTACAAGGAAGCTGGCTAGCGACCCCGCAAGTTTAACAGTCTTTAGTTTTATCTGTTCTACGACAATTTAGTTTTCAAAAATTCAAAACAAAAAAATGTCGACTCACTGGTGCCAGAACACACCCCATTCTCTGGGATTTTTGTCAGCGGTTCTTGGGCAGAAGTCTTTCAATAAGTCAAGATAAAGTGTCCTCACTTGAGATAAACGTTAAACAAGTGGATCGACTGGAAATTTTGACAAATTTTCACGTAATCGTTGGCAATATCGCAGCCTTTGTTTTGTAAACAGGAAGGATGCAAGATGGCGGCAGATGGGTGAGGTCATCGTCTGCTATCTTTAGACGTGCATGTCATCATCGCGTGTCGTGCCGGGCTGCATGGGAGATCACGTTTCTGAAATACAACGGTTCTCAACCAGTGAGTCACAAGCCCTTTCTGTGTCGAGCGACTCCTTTCATAGGGATCGCCTAAGACCATCGAAAAACATATTCATCGAAGTTATGAAGTAGCAACGAATATGATTTTATGGTTTGGGATTGTCATAACAAGAGGAACTGTATTAAGGTGTCACGGCATTAAGAAGGTTGAGAGCCACTGCTGTAATAGTTCGTGGGTTCCTTTGTCATTGCGTGTCATGCCAGGTGGCATGAATGATCATATTCAAGTAATATTCCGTGTCTTACATATTTAAGAAGAAGAAGAACAAGAAAAAGAAGAATATTTTATCATCCTTCTCGCGTGTCGCACACGCGCTGGCATCATGTTCTTGTAGTACTTTATTTCTTCCTTTGTCATTATCTCCCCCCCCCCCCCCCTTTCCACATACGCGTTTTTTTAAATCAATCTCGATAAGTAATAGCTGATGGTCTACTATTCAACAGTGGTAATATACCTAACAGTTTCTCCTTTTTGATGCTGTTCGTGAAAATTCTTCGTAATATCAGGGTGTCGGGTTTGTCTTGCGTTGTTTTCGACAGTGTTACCTAGAGCTGACAGTTCAGGAAGCAATGGCAAACTACTGAAAGTAAAATTTGACTAGAAAACCCACAACAGCTAAAAAAAAAAAAATTTGAGTTGCATTGTTTTAGCCTGAAAGGAATTAGTTTAATTTTTGTGCCATGACACCCAGGGTTAAGAGGGAATGGACGAGTGGATTGGCTTGGTGGTAGGGCTACGGTAGGTACAGGCAAAGCAGTGGACCGGGCCGACTTTCTCAGTGCTTTCAAGAAGGCAGGGCGAGAATATGATTCAGCAACACTCAAAAGACTACAGGATCTTCAGGTCAAAAGAGGTGTTGCCAAACATAAACACTACACGTAGCCAAAGAAGAAGATGTGATCCGATCGCTTATGGACTTGTCTTGTGTTAATGAGGATCATCTTTTGATTAACGAACTATTGTTTCATCTGTGTGTGTGTGTATGTGTGTGTGTGTGTGTGTGTGTGGGTGTGTGTGTGGGTGTGTGTGTGTGTGTGTGGGTGTGTGGGTGTGTGTGTGGGTGTGTGTGTGTGTGTGTGGGTGTGTGTGTGTAGGTGTGTGAGTGTGTGTGTGGGTGTGTGCGTGTGGGTGTGTGAGTATGTGTGTGTGTGTGTGTGTTGTGTGTGTCTGTATGTGTGTCTGTGTGTGTGTTGTGTGTTTGTGGGTGTATGTGTGTGTGTGTTTCTGCCTAAAATAGTACCAGGGTATTCTGGGAAGTAATGGCCACCCAGTATACATTTTGAAAAGTATACTACAATAAGAAGCAATAAAATATACACTTTTAAAAAGACATTTTGTTATGAAAGCTTTAAAAAAAAGGCACAATCAGTAGAGGTAATTGACTTTATTGAAGGAATCATGACAAAATTCATAATTTAACAAATGTAGTAAAGAACATGTATACAGCATTCGTACATTTTCTGTTTTAAAAAAATCATGGCTTTAAAATAGAGCTTACAGGGGCATAGAAATAAGGGCAGACACAAATAAAAAATAAGAAAAGGAGAAAGGAGCTGGAGGGTGAAGGCAAAAAATGTGTAGACATAGGTTAAACTGAATGCAACCACAAGAGATGTGCGGACTTGGCGTAAGTTGGTTGAGGGCCTATGCTCCATTGGGAGATAAAGAGCAGTAGAAGATGACCTTATTCGAAGGTCACAAACAGCTCCCAGCATGCATTGCATATGTTTTGGTTTTTGTGGGAGATTTTAACGTCAGTAGTTTTGAAAAACAGAAATATTTTGGTCACTTGAAACGTCAAGAAAGTTTAGAGGGAACAATAATAGAGGGGTATATGCCAGGAAAGAGAGGAAGAGAAAGGCCAAAGAGAAGATGGGTCCGGATGTGGCGGATGATCTCCAGATGGAGTAACGGACGCGGGAAATCTTGCTTGTGATCGAAATGTTTTCCGGAAGGTTGTTATGGGAGCAAGGTCCTGCAAGGGGTATGCTACTGACTGACTGACTGACTGACTGAGTTTGAAATTGGTTTCATATGTTACATGACCTGTAGCAAATTCTTTGATGTTTTATTAGTATCCCACCCCAAACAGGGAAAATCTACATGTCACGGGACAGTCTAATATTCCAGGGGGTGGTAGATAGCCTGCATGCAGTCTTGGGACCTAGGTCGGTTGGAGTTAGGGCCAGTTCTAGATGTTTTGGGGTCGTTAAAAGCATCAGAAAGCCTGGAAACCCAGCCTTACCACCCTCTAAACTGTGACGTCATCTGAGGTAGGATTTTAATAAAGAACCAATTGTTTACAGCAAATCCGTCTCATCGCAGTCGGTCAGAAAGATTCGCCTCTTGGCTGGCTCTCGCGGCATCATTCTCAAGACCAGAATGGCCGTAAACTCCTGTACCAATCGTGGCCCCTGTCGGTCGCTGCCTCTTCTCCCATGCATCATACAATCCATTACTGTATCATTTTCTGAACCAGCATTTTAAAAAGTAGCACACACGGAATATTATTTAAAGTCAAAGAATGAGCACAAACACACGCACACGCGTTCCCGTACATTCACAAAACATGGGATATTTTAGCCACAACAGTAGCTTGCCGTCTAACAATAACTATATTACTAACAATTACAATATTATTAATCGATTCACATGTTGATAATGACGAAAATAATTGGTAAACTTCTTGACATTCAAGTGTGAATGTGTTTGTGAATGTGTGTGTATGTCTGAATGTGTATGTGTGTGTGTCTGTGTGTGTGCTTGCTTGTGAGTGTGCTTGGAGTGTACTGAGAAAATCTAAGCATCTATGAACTAATTGAGTCGATGTGAAGTGAGGATGATGTGTCCGTTAACTATTACAACTATAACCAACTGACTGACTGATTGACTGATCGACTGACTAACTATTTTTTATGAAAGAAACATTATTTCTGTCCGATGGTATCTTGAGTAAAACACTTTTTACATTTAAAATAATAATTTTAAAAAAATGGTTCATTAAAAAAGCTTTTCTTTAAAATGCGCCCAATAACTAATACACTTAAAAGTTAGAAATAATTTTTCATACAGATTCATTGAAATAAGGAATAAACAATTCTTCTTCTTCTTCAGCATTCCGAGCCCTTGAGGTTCATTGCTGCAGATATTACCCGCCTCCATTCATCTCTCTGGTTGGCCTTCTTCAGTATTCCGAGCCCTTGAGGTTCATTGCTGCAGATATCACCCGCCTCCATTCATCTCTCTGGTTGGCCTTCAGCATTCCGAGCCCTTGAGGTTCATTGCTGCAGATATCACCTGCCTCCATTCATCTCTCTGGTTGGCCTTCTTCTTCAGCATTCCGAGCCCTTGAGGTTCATTGCTGCAGATATCACCCGCCTCCATTCATCTCTCTGGTTGGCCTTCTCTTTCCAGTTGATGACACCAAGTGTTCGCAGGTCTGACTGAATATTATCTTTCCATCATCTTCTTGATCTGCCTCGTGGTCTACGCCCATTCATATCCCTCTCGTATAGTTTTTAATTTTCTGTCATCTGACATCTGACATGAGATGAACAATTGTCATCACAAAATTCATTTACATGTTTAGATCTGATTTACTCATTTAAGAATCGACATCATAGCACACCGGGCATACACACTGATGCTCAGTCTCCTGTAGCAAATGTTTTTATATGTAGATGCTAACTATTCCCATAGCTCACTGATTATTCACACAATCTCTTTTATGTCTCGACTAATAAAATCTCGGGGAGCCCTTGATAGAGTACATATAATTACATGATGTATATGTATACATAACAATTGAATAAAATGTAAAAAAAAAAAAAAAAAATAATGTCTTAACATTTTGACAAATCAAGTCGATTATTATATCTTGTTATTCATGTGATTGTTTGTATTCGTCAGTGATTATTATTGTTCTGAACTCTGCAATGTTTTTTTCCATAATATGTTGTGTCTGCTTATGTCATTTCCATTCTTCTAATCTCTACACGATTTCGTCTGTATAAATACCCTGCAATGGTGAGTATGTTGACGTTTGTCAAGACTCTTTGTGGTCTAATTTCTACATTTTGTTTTCATGATGAGTCATGACAAGTATGTTTTCAATTTTGCAGACGATAACCTTTGTATGATGATTTTTCTTTTAATTTCTAAAACAGGTATTTTCTAATTGATTATATGAATGTATCAAATATCTACTTAAAAATGAATTACCCCCCACGCAGACGTCCGGTTAGAAAGACTGTGGACCCCTCTTGAATATTATAATACGCTAGAGGGCGTCCTCTCTGCAGATTTTTACCAGCAAACTGCATGACCTGTTGATCAGGAGGTATTCCCAACCGTTGTTGAATCAAGCTCATTAACGCCTCTACGAGGGTGGTTCTCTCTACTTCGAAAGTGTACGTCCTGCCATCAATGTTCTGTACAAAGATCTGAAATTTCTGAGGCCGTGGCGGTTCTGGATTAATGGGCACTTCAGGTACACTGGAAGGCGGGCAGTGTCCAGTGTTGGGAAGTGGTCCTTGGTGCTGGTGCTGCTGGTGAGAGCCTGTGTGATGGCTCATGATTCTAAAAGGAACACAAAGCATTTTTGTTGTCGGTAAAATATTGTTTTGTTATATGATCTTAGTATTAATTAACAACAACTAAAAAAAAAAAAAAAAACACACACACACACACT